AGTAGGACAAAACAAACCAAAACAAAATTGAATAAAATTAAACATAATAGAATATAAAAGAAAAAACAGAGTAAAAGGAAATAGATCTAAATAGTACAAAATATACAAACAAAACTTCATTGAAAAAAAAGGACTCAAACCACATTTAACCGAATGCCTCAAGTGGCCTTTGTAAGTCTTATTTATACTTTATCCAATTAATTTTGAAATTTTTAGAATATCCCTATTGGTGGCCTCTACGAAAATAATCACCACTCTAGAAGATTCCACATGTGGATCCCACCTAAATAACCGCCCTTAATTCTTTTAAGATTTTTACAGTAGGCCCCATATAGACCACCAACTTAGCCCCAATTCTAAAAACTTCTATAAACTTTTCAAAAACGGCCCCAATTACCTATCTCTACACGTCAATAATATAATTATCTTATCCATGCCTCATTACATCTTTGCTCTTATATATTTTTGTAATAAAAAATTTATATTAAAATTAAAATTTTATTTTAAATTTAAGAATAAATTTTTGTAAAAAAATATGTTTAAATTGGTGGTTCATAAGCAAGATCTAAAATTATAAGGCATCAACTACAAAACACATTCAAAACAACTTTTCTTTTAAAGTAATCTTAGTAATTGATAATAAAATATATCACAATATAATAATTATTTTTTACGATATATATTTGATTTTAATATTTAAAAATATATATCAAATTATTTTTTTAAATGGTTTGAGTTTATATTATGATAATACTTAAAATTATTAACTTATATTTTAAAGCATATTGTATGAAACTTGCAATATAAAAAAGTATATTATTTTTAGAAATTTATGTAATATATCTAAAACATCAAGAATAGTTATTTGATAATAAAATATTTCCAAATTAATATGTACAATATATATAACAACTTATTTTTTAAAAAATAAATTTGAACATGAATAAACTATTAAAAAGATGAGTTTGTAGATTTATTTGTATTTTTAAATTTTTCTATATATATATATATTAAAATAATTTATTTTAAATTTTAGCTACAATTAATTTGCATATATATTTTAAATCAAATTATTTGGTAAATTCAATTGTAGAAGATTTTATAAATTATTTAAAAAAAAATTATAAAGCTCATTATTTATCATTAAAGAATTTAAAATAAATTATTAATTCTAAATAAAATTATTACAAAATCTATAATAAAAGATAAAAAAGAATCAATTATAAAAGATAAAAAAAATTAAAATCTATTAAAAAAATTTGAGTACAATGTTTTAATCTTAGTAATTAGGACTATACAAATTCAATTTCTAAATTAATAAGATAAATTTATATAAGATTTTTCTATATTATTTATTTATTTATTTAAAAGTACATTGAGATAGACATAAGGTATTATTACAAATTATTTTAATCTAAAAGGATGTGATATAAGCAAATTTAACTTAGTAACATCATACAATCTAACATCATTCAACCTTACCAATACACAAATAAAGATTTATAATTTTAAGTACTACTATCCTCAGAACTCAAAAATTACAATTTTGATAAAATAAAAATTATCATAATAATACCATTTGAATAATTCTAATATAAAATTTTTATATTATACCAAATAAGTAGCATTTTCAAGAAGTATTTTTATTAAGAAGTGCAAAAAATATTCTATGAAGTAAATTGAAAGATGCAACAAACAACTTAGTTTCTTTCAACTAAAGATCTTCTAAATTTAATTTTTTTATGATTAATGTTTAAATAAAAAATATTGTAGAAATATTTTTAGATGTTAAAACTTCATACTTTTGACTATAAATTTGGACCAAATTAAGACTACAATGAAATTCTCTCATATCACATAAATATCTTCGAAATATAATAAATTTATATAAATTTTGATTATAAATTTTTTACAAGCATATTTAGTATAAATAATATAAATAATATATATAATTATATATTTTACCATTATTATATAGTTTCTTCAAATTTTACAATTTAAAAAATATTCTTAAATTGATTAGTTTAAAAATAAAAGAGATTTATTACTTTTTATATTTTTATTAATAAATAACCTTATAAGTATTAAAAAAATAAAAATTTGAATGTATTAATTTTTTATTATTCAAGAGTTTTAAAAATCTTATAAAATATCCATGATTTTTTTTAAATACATCTTTTTTCATGGCTTTAATTTAATTTATATACAATATTTTTTAGACTTTTATAGTTTTCCATTGATTGCAAAAAGTTTTTTTAAAAGATTATATATGATTTTTTTTTTATCATATTATAAACAAAAAATATATATTTCTACCTAGAATTATACTCTGTTCATGCAATATTATGCTCCATCCACCATATTAATGTTGTTGGTGTTGTAGTTTTGTAACATGTTCAAAGGCAACTTTTCTTTAATCAATGTCTTCATGAAGGAGCCCTTTGTTTTTGTTGGAATTGGATCAAATATAATAGAGATAGTTTTCAACATCAAGATCCAATACATGTGCCCTCACTACAACTTGCAATGTTGAAGTCTCAAGAGAGTACAAATATTTTTTCTAAATTGCCTAAGAAAAGCTACTACTAAAATACAACATATTACATAACCACAACAACAATAACAATCATGGTGGTGTTTTGGATGCAATAAAATGTTGAATGGAAATAATAAAACTTTAGACAAAAATAAAAAGAATTTAGGTTAAAATATCTATTTTCCTTAAATAAAGGGACAAGACAAAGATCACTTTAGTTTTTCTAATAAAAATTTAAAAATAATAAAAGTGTTGTCTGATTTTATTTTGGTAAATATATTTCTAAAATAACAATTATTTTCCTCATTCTTATTAATCATATTGTGTTTAGTCTTTCTAGTTTTCTTAAGATTATATATATATATATATATATATATATATATGTTTAAATGTTAAATTATAAGAATATCCAACTATAATAAAAATCTATAGATTCTTTAATTATTAGAATATTAATTTTTAAAATATAAATATTCTTGAATTCTAAAAAATATCTATTACATAGAAGTTGAATGTAATACATGTATGGACTACAAATAGGTCTATTTTTAGAAAAATACACTTGTAAAAGTCAAAAAATTACAAAGATTGGATCTAATAATTTAATTGAAATATACATATATGTTAAAATATGTATGTAAATATGTATTATATATATATATATATATATATATATATTGATACACAATATTTGATGTAGCTTGTTTAGTATTAGCCTAAATTTTGATTGAAAATCTATACCAATCTTCTTATAGTTAATTCAAAAAAACATTGTTCATAGTCCTTATATGTATGGTTCAATTATAGTCATTAATCTACTAATTGAGATATTTTTTGATTAGAATCATCAACTATTTGATAATGAAATTCTTTCTTTGATGTCACTCCCTTACCCTTGAGAGCATGTCAAATCCCCAATGCATTCTATCACCTTGTGGATGGTTGTGGATGGATGGATGCATGAATGAATGAATGAATGAATGAATGAATTAAGTGTTTCATGATGCAATGCCTGCAAAGCCTTCATGCCTTCAAAAGAGAGGGATGTGGTGGTGGAGAGAGGGAAAGTTGGGCTCCACTGCTTGTGAATAAGAGCTCATGATACCTGCTTGTGCTGCTGGCTACAAGTCAGGAACACACACACACACACATTAAATAATAAAAAATAATAACAACAAAACATGCACAATCACAGTGGATGCTACTGGTAGCAGCAGAAGCTTTTTGTTGCCACTTTTTAATTTTATCTATCCTTGAAAACCTTCTGAGTGAGTTCTTAGGCTTCTCTATTATTCTGATATGAGGAATGTTGCATGAGAGCTGATTTAGACATTTGCTTTATTTTGGCATGAGGTGCCATTTTATTGCTCCCATCCCAGATTTTCAATTTGCCCCACAAGGCCTGATTGTCAGGCAATGATGCAAATCAGGACAGTTTTTTCTTTACCATGACAAGGTGATAGTTATGTTGGGGTTTTGGAACAATAATAATGGTGAGTAGTCTTTTCTTTTTTTGATCAACTCGGGTGAATCATTCAAACCCATGGAGCCCCCAACTTGCATCATGATTCACCTCATCTTTTCAAGGTTTGGTTGTGCCATCAATTCATTCTCAGCCAGTATAAAGAAATATGTCTCCACTGCTCACTTGAGACCTTCCAGAATCACATCTTCTTTGCACCTTTCAAATCTCACAGTCAATCCTTCCCACAAAGAGAAAGATTTCATGCAGTTGCTGCGAATGTTGTTGAAACAATGTGAGTCAATGTGAAACCTTTGCTGGATGGGAAGGAGTTTGGTGTTTAGCACTAAAATTTTGAGTATGGTGTATGCTTTTATTCTTACATTGGATTTCTCACATGGGCTTGACTAGAAACCAGAGAACTGCAGTTTTTTAAAATGTCAACTTCATTTTAAAAGACATGTGTACTCAAGCAACCCAAAACACAGCTCAAAGCTTCAAGTTTTGAATGAGCACAAGCACATTCACACAAAGAGGTAATCAAATACACACTAATCTGTCACTCAAACACTTTGAGCTTTTTTGTACCCTTGCCTCTAACAATGTATAACACAGTATTTATAATGAAGTATAGGAGCTATTTTTGAGTATGTTCCACACTTACTGTGTGTGTATATATATGTATTAAATTGCATTTTCTTTTCATTTGTGTGGGGTTTATTTACTCACACACATTAAAGATAGTTTATGTCTCAATTTGATATTTGTACTATAAAACACACACACACACATATGTATATATATATATATATATATATATGTTGAACTATGGAAACAAGAAAATAAATAAAGCAAATAAACTCTATCTGGAGGGAACAGGGAGAACCCAAAAGTAGCACCTTCCTTGAGAGGAGCACTGAGCTGGATATTGCTCCCCTAACCCCATTACCTCATAGGTAGATGCCACTTCAACAAACAAACACAGAGTCGAGCAGAATATGGAAAGGGAACCAGCAGCAGCAGGAGCATGAGGGACCCATCTACAACCCAGTAACCTTCTTGGTGCAGCTGAAGCTAAAGTGAGAGCTATCCATCCAATATGGACTGGCTGAGGTTGCCTTTTTCAGCTGGCTAACAAACATAAACACATAAACACATAGACATGCACACTCACAGGCAGTGTGTGACCTCATCTCATCTTATCTCATCTGGAGCTACTACTGAAACCACCCGAGAGCTAGAGAATCGAGGATTTAAAAAGCGTTATATCAAAGGGCCAGTTCACCGTAAGTTGTCTACAACAGCAGCATTTGTTTTTGTTTGTCTTTGTTTGTTTTTTGTTTCTCTTTTTCTTGTCAATTACAGGAGGGGGGGGGGTCTGAGTCTGGGGCCAGCAGCTGCGGAGTCACGACGCAGGTGTCAGATCATAATAGAGAATGTAGAAGTTCCAGGAAGGAACTGGAAGTGTGGAGCTGGTTGGCGAGGAGGTTGTGGTCACGACTCACGCATGTGGGTCATGAGCCTTCGTGTTGGAGCAATGTCAGGGAGACGAGGAAGAAGAAGATGATCAGTTAGGGTTTTGGTACTCTGGCATCTGCCACTTTCCTCTGACACTACTACAGTTGCCCTTCCTCTTTCATGCCCCCATGTGTGGTTTGCCTCAGTGCAGACGGTGTCGCAGAGACGGTAACTTGGTCTTGGCCTACAAGCAGCGTTTCTCACAAGCTTTGAGAAATCTGACAGGGGTTCTTGAGTTGTGGCCGTGGCCCTTTGTTTCAGTTCTACGCACTAGAGGCCATCATTCGAGTTCCGTTAGACAGCTCCCTGTAAAGAGCAGTGAGAAATGGTGGGGAGGGGTCCATGCTTCCATCACCGCTTTCGCCTCTTGAGTGATATCTTGAATAAAGCAATTTTGTCTGTGATCAGCAGCATTACGAACGTATCATTTCGTATTGATCACACAGCTTGGTCTACGCTCAACGTACATGTATTTTACGACAGTATGGCTTTCGCATTCTACAAAAACATTTCCAGCGTTCAACATCGAATATTTTGTGGGGGAATCCAAAAACGGCTTGTCCCCTCTGGACAATCATATTTCCAGATATTCGAAAATCTAGGCATTAGGGGTTGCGTTTGAAGTTGGGTGCTCTGCTGGGCTGTGACCTCTCAGGTGTTCTGACTTCTATGAATGCTAAGGGTTCAAGCAGTAGCACGAAGCTCAAGGACAGGTGTTCACTGAGGAATGTTTTAGGGTTTTGTATAATCATCTGTGGAGCATGTTCCGGAATCTTGACTAACTTTGTAATTAAGAGTTCGTTCGTTGTCTGTCAGCCCCCCCCCCCCAGTTGTCAAATTTCAATACAAAAGAGTTTCGTTGCCGCAGGGTTTTTGAGATTTCCGTGTCAGACGAGTGCACCAACCTCCTTTTTTAACTGACTGGACAGAGGCGGATGACTTGAAAGTACGGAATAGAAGCGGAGTTTACAGCATTCAGCCTCACGGACAGATTTTGGAAGGCTTGTACTCTGGGCCGCATTATAAAAAAATGCCAATTAGGGTCTGGCACAGGTTTACACAGAGACAAAAAAATCTAGAAGAAGGTTGAGTTGACCTCCATGTTCTTTATGGGGGAAATTATATATATATATATATATATATATATATATGTGTGTGTGTGTGTGTATATATAATAAAACCAAAGGAAATGCCCAAGCTGCCCAATCTGCCCCATTGTTTTTAAATATGTGGTGGGTACTTCATTAGATGAGAGTTAAACAACAATCATTCCGGCTTTCAGCAGCATGATCCAACCATACACAACCCAGCTGCCCATGACCAAATTAAGAAAAGAAAAAAAAAAGAAAAAAAGAAGAAATAGGAGGGCTTCAACAGCCCTGCTACATGATTGACAGACAACCTTATTATCCAATTTGGAGGCCCCCCTCAGCCCAGCTGAATAGAAAAGAAAAATTAAAAAAAAAAAGAACTAAAGAGAAAATTCTGCTGCCCAAATTTGGTAATTTTACTATCACAATCACTTCGTGCTTCTATCAACCTTTTGTGACTGAAAGGATACAATAGTCACGCCAAAGGCCCCTCCTAGTTATAACCATGATCAACAGACGATTTTAATCATAAACTTATTTATCCCCCCCCTCTCTTCACACATCCTCATTCATCCAAGTGAGAAACTAAACCACAGCAAAAGACCCCATGTCCTCGATTCTCATGGGCCAACCTCAAACCAGCTGTTTGAGTGCATCCATCTTGAACAGAAAAAATATCAACTTATTCTCTATTTATTATTACAACATGCTTCCACGTTTGTTAGAAAAATAAAAAGAAACGAAGAAATAAATGCAAAACAGAAGCCCACACCACTACTACTTCTACTACTACTACTACGGTTTTGGCTAATTACAACAAGAGTCTCTCACTCTCTCGCTCTCGGTCACTATGATTAATTCAAAAGTTGATGGCATCGTTCGTAGCTCCCAGAGCGCTCGGTGACGTGCCAGGCCCTTTGCTTTGTCTGCAGACAGCGACTCTCAAGACTTTTGCAGCTTCCGGACAAACGGTGTCGTAATCCTCGCCACAGCTGCTGCTGCTGCACCTAACTTAGGCTGCTGCTATGGTGATCAAGGCTCTCTCTCTCTCTCTCTCTCTCTCTTTCCACTGCAACAAGATCATTCGACAATGTGTTGTGTTATATTCACTCCCCTGTGTTTGTACGAGGGGATTCTTTATTAACCCCCCACCTTCACCTCCCTGCCTGCCAGCTTCGCTGTAGTTGTTGATGTGGTCTTCGACACAGTTGGTCCCCAGCATCTGAAGAGAAAAATTCATGTGCAAAGCTCCCAAGGCGCATCATGTGAGGAGGGGGCGTGCAGAGCATCGGCCTCTGAGCTTTGAGGATTTCGTGAGAGAGTGCGTGGTACAGACATTGGGCTGATTTTGTTTTTATTTGGGTTTGTTTGGAGGAGATTGGTTGTTCCCTGGGCGCGGGAGGATCAATTTGGTGTTGTGTTGTGTGTGAGTGTGAGTGTGTGCGTGCTGGATCAAGCAAGTCCATCGAGGAGGTTTGTTAAAATGCTGGGAATGTGCGACGTGGATTGGCTCTGGGGTGGGAGATTTGGTATAGATGACTTCAATGCGATTTGATCCTAGTGGGAGGCGCTTGAGGAGCAGTAGAGTTTGGATTTTTCTTTCCCTGCTGGAGTTGAAATCGGGTGGAGGGTTCGTTTGTCCTACATTTCTTTAGAGAGATTACTTGCATCGACGTTGCGCTTGAAATTTAGATACGCGTGGTAGAGCGACTGAGAAATGGGGACAATTCTTTTAAGGACGTGACCGCCACTGCGTGATGACGATTATTCTCGATTTGTGCCCGTGATGTTGGGTCAAAATGAGACAGAGGCAGTGGTTGAGAAATGGTGTCTGTAGACCTCGTCAGATTGTGCTAATCGTGCGAGGCTATGATAAGAGCTTTGCTTGTGGGAAAAGTTAGTTCTAACTGTTGCAGTATCCTATCTTCAGCCAGTTGTTAATTCCTCTGCTGCTAATGGCAATGGACCAACGTCCACGCTTCACTGAAATTTCGGATGACGCGCATACTTTAAGGGACGGTTCGAAGAATGGCGCACTTAAGAGACCTGGTGCATGATCTGTAGTGCTCTGTATTCTAGGCCTCGAATTAGTTGTCATTCTGATTGCAAGTTCGCGCTTCCAGGCTTGAGGTGGCTGTGGCTCTGATGCCGCTCTTGTCGTCTGTCGTTCAGTCCTTCGAGGAAGCGAGAAATCATGCACACGACAGTCTTAAGCTCAGTGTATCACAACTTGAATGTCACGGCTACGAAGAGGTTTTCATGGATCGCAAACGCTAGAATATCACTATATTTTCTGTTTGTTGTTCATAAGCATGCTGAGTGTAAGCCACTTGCTGGCAGACCGACTTTGACTCTGATCTGGCGAGCCAAATATAGATCACTTAATAGCCATGTACTTTGGGAAAACCTCAAGCTTTTATATCTCATTAGTTGTTTCTATGAGTCTTACGAGTGCTAAATTCGGCCCTGTCCATCATGCGCGCGAGTTGGGTTTCTCCGGGAACTGTTCACCCCAAAGTTTTCTTTATTTAGATATTGCTGTACATTCGGAGAGTGTTCAGTTTGTTGGCTTACTTTCGAATTTCTTGAAGGAACCTCTGTGGTGTACGTGTTGTTCACTGTGAGGCTCTGGTTTACTTTTTTAGTCATTCCATCCAAATTTTGCGTATATTCTTTCGAGAGGCATTCTGTTGTTCAACTCTAATCCCTTCTCACATGAATGACCTTTTGTCACAGGATCGAAGGCTAGTCGAAGACGAGAACATTGGATCTGTACGAGTGTATGATTGGGCGGACGAAATATCCAGCCACCAGACACTTGTCTTTGAGCATCTGTTTCAAGAAAATTAAAACATGCCTTTTAGAAATACATTAGAACCTATTGTGACAATCGCGTCCGCACGAATCCTTTTCTAAGTGGCCTCCTCCAAATCTCTACCATTTGAGTGAGAAACATTTTAGAATCAAGAATATCTAGGATGAAGAGAATCGGCCAAGCTTGTGAAAAAACCGACGACATTTCGGATGCCGCAATCGTGAGAGAGAGTTTTTGAGATCTAGGAGTAGAAGTGCTACATTTAGATAGCTTAAACAACTATTTTCGGCAATGGAGAAGTCTGCCGAGAAGGAAAGCTCACGGCGGAGCTGGCCCTGGAAAAAAAAGTCACATGACAAAATATCTGCTGCACCGGATCTTGGACCCTCTCCAGTCCCCTCTAAATCATATGACAACCATCAGGTTTGAAATTTTGCCCGGAAGTATTATTGTAAAGTAAAGTGCCAGGTTGCTGGTTTGATCTTTCTTCCGTAAACTTCAAAGCAGCTAAATAGTTTCTCGACTACTTTCTCGACTACTTTCTCGATTGTGGCGTATTGGTAACTTTTTGGAGATGTTCATTCACCACCTGAATGTAATGGACATGGTGATGATTCAGATATGGGAGTGTCTGCAAACAGACGTGCCAAGCCATCAGCGACAACCTTCACCAATAAAGGTCTCAGGGTTGCAGGACCGCAATCGAATGGCTGTTGATGAGGTGAAGGCACATTGGTTGCAATCAGAGGAGAGAGCCAAAATTCTCTCGGAGAAGCTCTCTAATGCGCTTGCTGATATTAATTCGAAAGATAATGTTGTTAAGCAACACGTCAAAGTTGCTGAAGAGGCCGTGTCTGGTATATTCTTCTCAATTTTCGTGGGAAAAGTAGCATAGTATTCTTTAGTTCTCTCTATTATTTGTTGTTTAAGTTGCCAGGTTATTCTCAACGCTTTTCTATTGTCGGAGACCTGTAACACAATTAGATGGATACTGGGCAGGATAACACAGGCCCTATGGTAGATTATATCTCACAAGTCGAGTGATCGTCTATAAGTTTCAATTTTTCCTTGTATTACCGGTTTAAAATTGAACTTTACTGAATTGAATCATGGAAAAATTAGAAACGTTTGTCATTTTATTTTCAGGTTGGGAGAAGGCCGAATCAGAAGCAGTGTCATTAAAAGCACAACTTGATGCAGCACTACAGCAGAAACTGGCCACTGAGGATCGAGTGGCACACTTAGATGGGGCTTTGAAAGAGTGTATGAAGCAGCTCAGGCATCTTAGAGAGGAAAATGAACAGCGTGTACATGACACCTTGCTGAAGAAAACACGAGAATATGAAAAGCTCCGATTGGAGATGGAAGCAAGGCTGGCGGATTCTTCCCACTTTTTAGCTCAATCCCGATCTGAGCTCCTGGAAGCAAGAGCTGAAGTTACAGCTCTTGGCCATGCCTTACAGGTGAGAGGTTTAACGCTTGTGTGGTCAAATCTCAAGCACAAATCATGACATGATGGTTGCGATCATTCAAGTTCAAAGCTAACTATATGTGTCTGGATTTTGCCGAAATCTTCAGGAGCGTTCGCGTAGTGTTGCGGAGATCAGCGAGGCGAAAGGGCGAGCTGAGACCGAGATAAAAGTGCTGCAGGTGTGCATTGGAAGTACTAGAGCAAATTATTATATTGCATAAGACTTCGATTTTTTACTCACTCTATGCTGGTGTTTTGATGTTACATGGCAGATTTTCTCACAACTAATTGGTCATTCTCTAACTGAAGTGATGATAATCCTTGGAAGATTCGATAAAGTTAAAATAGCTTACAACTCGGATCAGATTTTCTTATCTTACTACGATTTTTGAATGGGAATCGGCCTGACTTGTGTTCAATCTAGGTGAGACTGGAGACGTTAGAGAAAGAAAACTCTCAACTGAAGTATGAGGTACATGTCCTTAATAAAGAGCTCGATATCCGAAGTCAAGAAAGGGAATACGAACGTAAAGCAGTGGACATGGCCTCTAAACAACATCTCGAGAGTGTGAAGAAAATTGCTAAGCTCGAGGAAGAATGCAATCGCCTTCGTCTCTTAGTCCGCAAGAAGCTTCCAGGCAAACCTTCGTCCTCTTTTCATCTTGAAGGCTTTTGGTTGCGTAACTAAATCTATCGCAAAGACTATGAATTTAACACGTCTGTACAAGATTATTGCATCTTAAAAGAGAACTTAGCAACCTATTTCTGTGGTGTGTCGAGTATGAACTTGTCACAGAAGTGACATTGTGGGAACCTGATAAATTTCAAAGTTTGTCAGGAACAGATGACTCGAACAACTGATTTTGTTTGACATAGACATTTAGCTAATTTGAGTATATCCTGCAGGTCCAGGAGCAATTCAAAGAATGAGAATGGAAGTGGAGGGTGTAGCTAGAGACCCAGCTGATAGGAGGCGCAGGTCGATGAGCCGTAGTGGTAGCCAATTGGATCTGCTAGCTGTTAACGGTGCTATGCAAGACGATGGACAAGATGGGCGCACACAAGAAGCGCAAATGTTGGCCGAGCGAGTGGTAGCTATGGATGAGGAGATGAAGATGCTAAAAGAAGCACTTGCACAACGAAATGGGGAGCTCCACTCTGCTCGTCTTCTGTGCTCCAAAACCTCGACCCAGCTTTCCGCTGTGGAAGAAGAGCTCAAAATTGCTAAAGAACAAAGTGGTATCAATCTTCTTATTTCCTCTGAAACGTCGTTAGTTTTTGACTGCTCAATGAGGCAGTTATTAGAACTGGTACCCTGTGTACTTTGGAAACAAGTTCTGCGAGTTGGCAGTGTGTTATTGAATTGGTTGCTAGAGCTAAATATTTTCGTGTAGTGACTCAAACCTCCATTTTGTTGCATGAGTCTTCAAGATTCTCAGGCAGCCGTTCAAAATGAGAAGGGAGGACTAACTGAAGCTTTTCGATTGGAACAGTTTCGATACCACTCTGGTCATCAGATTAATGAATAAATATTAGCATGCCTCCATTGAACGAAAGTGAGAGTTGATTTGTTTTTGTTTTTTTATATTTTTCTTTGCAGAAGCGTCGAAAAACTCTAATAGTCAAGCAAGCAACTTCTCCCAGGAGCTCACAAGCAGGAAGAGCGGCTCATTGTTTGAAAAACCCAAAGAATCTGTCAAAGCTAGGGACTCTCAAAACTTTGAACTTATGGATGACTTTGCGGAGATGGAACGCCTTGCCATGAGCGTGACCCTAACTGAGCCTCAGAGTGCCATGTCCATAACGCCCAACAAATTAGTCAAGGACTTGGAAGAGGCCTTGGCGTCGAGGGCTCGGGAGCTGGATGCCAAGTCACAAGACTTGCGAGTGGCCGATCAGATGTGCCAAGAACTGAGGGCGAAGTTGAAGGAAGCTGACAAGGAACTCGCTGCACTTCGTTCTCAAAAGGCAACCAATGAAGCCTCTATGGTAAGTTTGCAAGAACAGCTGGATCTGTTATCTCAGCGGGAACGACGCAGAAGTGGTAGCCAGTCCAAGCGGCTGTGTGCTTACACATTGAAAGACATCGTGGGTAAAGCTAAGTTTAACGACGATGCAAGAACAACTTCTGAAGCTAGCTCGTTTGAAGGAGTGATGTTTGATGAACAGTCCTCGATTTCAGATGCTGAATCAAAGGTGAGAAACTTTTGTTCCGACGCATACTGTGCATGATCGTCTGGAATAAAACATGTCTTCTTCATAACTTAGTTCTCTGTCGCGATGCTCGACACTCGATGTTATTAGAAATTTATCGGTTGATCAGGGTGCTATTCAACTGTTTTTGTATGGAAACAATCGCATGATGATAACTGCTTGAGATGTAACAATTAACGGATGTCTAATACTTACTCTTTACTTAAATATCCAGGGTTCTTATGATGTGACCTGTTTTGCAGGCCAGCACGGCGTATTTGGAGCTCTCCATTGCCTTACGCAAGATTGTTCATGTAGTGGAAATGCTTGCTCAGACAACTGGGTACGAATACACTCCATCTCTCAGAGGCGTGTCGAAATCCACAACCAATGAAATCTCGCTACAACTGGATTGGAAAAACCACGATTTAAATGTAATCATGCGCAATCTGGCGAACGTTAGCAACAAGCTTTTACGAGGAAAATCTGATGTTATTGACTTTTTAGTGGAGGTGGGAATAGTTTTAGAATACATTTTGGCTCTCAAGCCATTGAGGAGCATTTCTGGAGAAAGAACTGAAATCTCTAGGGAATCAACTAATAAGGATCCGAAGTTAATGAGGGATCAGGGCGCAAACTTGAATGCGGAGCTTGATCGTCTCAGATTGGAGAAGGCCGACATCTCCTCCCAATTAGACAAGGCTGTTGAACAGGTTGAATCACTCAAAATGCAACTTCAAGCTGACAAGCAGCTGCTAACACGCGAATGTTTACAACGTCAGGTACATACAAAGTCTTTAAGTTCGTCATGATAGATGTCTTTGTTCATATTTCTTCGCACAATTCCTTCGTAAATTTAGCTAGCAAATTTTGAACTCAAAATGAATCGGTTTTTAGTTCTGTTTCACGATTCTATGCAGCAATTATGCTCTGGGGGGTAAGTTGAAGAATGAATTGATCTTGGAGGTAACCTGGTACTGATTGGCTATGTCCTTCACAATGGACGTTTCTGCTTTAAAATCGCAAATATTTATATTTTTTATAACAGCATGGAGGTGATTTTTCAATCCTCAAAAGTAAGGAGGACGACATGATTGAAGAGGAGCTAATGAGTCTATCACATTCAAATCCTGCATTCCGAGATTTAAGTGGAGAGCTCACAAGATTGCGGGATAGAGTGGTTGACTTGGAAAGGGAGCTGCGTGGGGAAGTACAGCGAAACCAGAGCGTTGTTGCCAAGCTAGGAAACGTGCAACATCCGGTTAAGAGGTAACAGTGTTAGTTCTCTTTGAGTGCAAGATTATGGGAGAGCGAAGTTAAATGTCTATCTGTTTTCTGCCACTTAGTTTCAACATTGGAAACTGGACATAATTAACCCTTGGGGAATGAACGGACCAGTAGACTTGTTACTAATAAATCTAGACTCTACCATGGAAGATGCTCTCTTCACAATGGTGACCGAAAATTTGTGTGATAAAACTTCGACAGGGAAGGCAATGCCGTTAGTAGAGAGATGTCCGTTGGATCACACGGGGATTCGTCCAGTCACTCAACTTCCGAAGAAGACGAAGATACAAAATCTGTTAAGGTACCTTACTTTGGCACCTACCTTAGCATTGGGAGTTTGCTCCAACAGGAACTTGAAAGGTCTAGATGAAGCTGAATGCAATGTGCATCCAAGAAATAGTTAGTCTACTTGCGTAAGACAAAAGATTGGACTTGAGAAGGCAGACTTAATATTACACCCAAGTTTGGATAATGTTGTTGCTTGGTTTACAAATTGATTTCTTTTCTTGGGTGTATCTACATTCAACAGCTGTTAATTAGCCACTCCATAAAACACGAGCACGAACGTGACGCCCAAGCAGCAGCCTTGGCGGAGTGCCAGAGAACCATTCTAGCGCTAGGAAAGCACATCAAAGGCTTGGGGACAATTTCTCATGGCCAAGAAGAAAGAGAGACGTCCCCAAAATCTATGCAACATTCCATATCTACTGAAAAAATGACACACACCATGGAACACCGTCCCTGGTTAACAGAAGCAACCGGAGATGTTCAGCCTCCATCTTCCGACCTGACCAACGCTTCTGATCTCACGACAGCAGGGCTTCGAGAGCATGCCAACCAGTGGGTTAGCCCTAGCCCTCTTCAAGCCCTAAGTGGCCCTAGCTCTGGTGCAATTCGTACTTCGAATTCTGGTTTAATCTATCCTCAATCTATGCGAGCCAGCGATTCAAGTTTCTGTAATCGTGGAGAACAAAGTGGAAATGGACTTGAAGTCGAACCTCGGCAATCCGCACTAAGAATTCCCTCGCCGGCTCAGTCTGAGATTTACACACAAGGACCAGGGTCTATGCCAGGCTCCCCTTCCCGGTCCTCTGCAACTCCATCCTGGGCCTTGAGAAATCGCCCAAGGGAAGTAAGTAGCGAGGCACAAGGGGATTCTGATGCATCAGTGGAGAAAGTGCGTGAAATTTCCAGCTTCAGCAGGTTCTGCTCAAGGTCACGAAGTGGCAGTATAAGTGGGTCATTTGGATGAAGCTGAGTGGCATAACCCACTATACTTCGTGTGGTCACTTCTCACCATCTAAACATAGCCCAATGTGATGAACCACACGGTAAGCTACATGCAGATGCCCGCGTTGATCATTGCAAAACGGGTGCAGCTCAATCTCAAAGTTCGATCAATTACAGGGGAGGCGACTTGATGTTGCATTAATTTTTAATCCACAGTAGTGTGATTGTAAAGACCTGAATGACTTCCAGCTGAGTGCTCTAATTTGAAGTTGTTGCAGCTGGTTACTTCAGAAAAACAACTCATTTTATGGTGTTCCACAAGGATTTTGCGCTTATGAGGATGTGGTCGAGGCAGGTTGTGTTGGAGCTACTTTTGTTGGTAGGTATTCCTAATTTGGTGGTGTGCAATGCTATCTAGAAAGCAGAACTAAACTAGCAGGAAGTACCATGGCATTCAATTTAGGCAGTCATCACATGTAATTAAGAGAAAGACTTTTCAAACCCCTTCCAAGGTGCACTGGAAGCCGCTGCTGTAGGCAGTCCAACGGGCAAGTCAGGTACTAGGTAGTGATATGTACAATTAAATGTACCAATAAATTCTTTCGCCGCATTGAGGCATTTACTTGAATAGATAAATTGGATAATACTCAAAATAAATTCTTAACACCACGACAAGTGCTGCACTTCACATCTCAAAAGGAAGAAGGCCTTGCTTCTCAACGATACAAAACAATTTGCTCTAATGACATGTTGAAACCTAGTCATTGAAGAGAATACTCAAGGTTCTGGATTGATATCTTACATATGGCAGGCGTACTGCCTACCAACCTCCTCTGTCTTAGTGGCTTCAAAATCACAATCAATCTAGATACACTTTTAAGGGTAAACTATCAAAATTTTATTGGATTTGATTGCATTTCCTTGTCTCTATAATAAGACCTTTTTTTGCTAGTAGTTCACAATATGAGGGTTTACAACAAAGATGGCTCATGTCTAGAAGAGCCGTTGTGATTTGTTATTAAGCTTAAGCTATTAGATTGATGTTTTGATTTGGCTATAATTTGAAAGTACATATTAATGACAAATTGAACAAATGTGCAATGTTGATCATTTGACCTTATTATCTAGGTATTGCTATTGTTTGTAACAAATACTTATAATTGATTATTGGACTTATTGGTATTAAAGATATGAATCTCAAAAAACTAAAAGATTAATACACTCTCGTGTCATTCAAAAAGACTAGAAAATTACTTAATGGTGGTATAATATTATATTACAATGACTATTACTAAAGACAAGAAGACTAAAAAGTCTTGAAACAAGACTAAGGACTAGAAAGATATTGGTAAGAGTGAAAAAAGTTTTATTCTTACCTCTATATATACTATCTAACTAAAAGCTACATAGTGACGTTTTAAAGAACCTCTAGCATGCATTCAACTTATGAAATAGGTATCTAACTTATAAGATAAGTTTTTTATATATGTACCATATAATTAGCTTGTTCCACAAGCCATTAGTATATGCAACATGTGACTAATTTATTGGTTAAGTTTCTAACTTACCAACCAACTACAAATATGTTTAAAGTCAAATATGCATTTCTAAAGCATCTATGAAGCATTGCCATAAAATAATATCAAATCTACTTACATTTATCTTCTACCTCATACTTCTTATCTAGATATATATATATATATATATATATATATATATTTGTGACATTATTCCTCCTTCTAGGAACAAGTTTAATAAGAAGCGGCAATTATATGTTGAAGAAGTCCAAGCTGCAGCAAATTATATTTGTCACATACTTTGATTTTTTTTCTTTCATTAAAAGGTGGTTAATAGGTTCTCTTAGCCATCAATAGTGTCTTATACCAATGCAAGAAGACGACCTTGTTATTTGATTATTATTGAGGTCTTTGTAACTTACTTCAAATAAAACTTTTACAATATTATTTGGAGTGGTTCCTATCTCTAATAATATTACTAAGCATTGAGAGTCTCTTTCAAGGTTGTAATACTAAACAAGTTGTATTTCACTATTTATTCAAGGAAGAACATGTCATTTTTGAGGGTCATCATTTCTATTGCATTGGCTTGAAGGTTGTGACAATTACAATGTCTCATCTAGTAACTCAACAAATGATATGGGATTAATCTTCATAGATTTTGGTGTGATGTGATAAAATAATTATATGTTAAAAAATAAAAATATGGATGTTATTATAAAAGAGTCTAATAAAAAGATGTAATAAAAAAATAATAATAAATTATAAAATGGTAGTAAAAAGTTTAGTCATAACACTACTTTTTGTAGAAGAAAATTTTATTTACTTTGTAGAGGCATAAATAATCTAATTAAAAGTAAATTAAATAAGAAATTGATATAAGTTAATTTAAGAGAGAATTAATAATAGATTAAAGAAAAAATTACCTCAAATTACCAAAACTTGATACTTAGAAAAGACCAGTTATCAACTTAGATTGAAATCAGATCCAAAGCACAAAACCATGTACTTATGGCAGCTCCAAGGTTCTTTTGTCAATTAGAAAAAAGAATTAGAGGGTAAAGTTAAAGAAAGATTTTTGAATATTAAATTTATGATATTTGGATAAATATAGAGAGTTTAAGAGATTTTCAAAGTTAGTAATGTATGCAATAGATTTGGATTTTAAGAAATAAAAATAAGTTTATAAATTTCAAGATTTTGTATGTTTTATAGCATATTTATAAATAAAAATTGGAAAGTTTCTTGATGTGCTTATTGTGAATTTATCTAAAAAATTTGAAGTCAATTGAGCAATTAGATTGAAGCATATGAGGATTTTTGTGGGTTATGGTCTCAAAAATTTGAAATTTAGGAAAAGTGAGTGATAATAAGATCTAACAATATCTCCTAGTTTGATTGAAGCAAAATTTGGTGAGAGCAATTAAGACTTAAATATCTATATACAATCCATATTTTGGAGCAATTTAATAATTCAACAAAGAGAAATTGGTTTTAAAAGATCAACATTCAAATTGGAAAAGGCTCCACGATTAAAAATTACAAGTCTAAGTTTTTAAAATTTGATATTTGTATTATTAAGAGGATTATTTTAAATTTAGATTAATTTTTTTAATAGATTCTATAAAGTCTTTTGAGAGGATCAAACATAATTAATATATTAAAAAATTTAAAATATAAAGCTAAAATAAAAGATATTTATGTAATTTTTAAAAATAACTTCTATAATAGATTAGCTCAGCAAAGATTACTATAAGCTCAAAAACATTTAAAAGAGTTTAAAGAATGAAGAGACAAAGATCAACATCTAAGATTCAAAATAAATAGAAAGTAAAGAAGATACAAAAATCAAAGCTTTCTTTAAATCTACTAAATAATGTAAACTTTAATTTCAAATTTTATAAATTTTATAATAAAATAAAAAATATTCAACTAATAATCCATTGATTTATTAAATATTATATTATTTATATTATTTTTTTATATTTAGTCTAAAATAATTTAATTTTATATTTAAAAAAATAGAAAACTTTTAAAAAAATATTTAAAAAAAAGTTTTAGAAAATAAATAATAATATTATAAAATCAATCAAGTTATAAGGACTTCTTAAAGAAATAAAAGAAATGGCATCAAAAAAGTATTAAGTCTAAATAGAATAAACCTAAAACTTTCTTAAATTAATTAGGATATTTTTAGCATTAATTATTATCAATAATAAAGAATACAAAAATTATAGAGAAGTTTCTTGATAATATAGTAAGAGAAAATATATTAGTAATTTGTGTCCTTATCGTAATTATAGAAGCAAACTTCTTAGATTTGGTTGTAAGGTTGATCTATTTGTTTCCTTTAATTGTACAACTTTTTACTATAGATTCTGAACTTCTTCCATAAAATTAGTATTCCCATGGTTGGCACTAGTGATGCATGAAATTTTCACTCTAAGAGTATTGATAAGTTCATGAAGATCTGTAATAGTTGAAAATCTATTCTCACTTCCACCAAATATTTCAACAAGCCCTATTTTATGGAGACTAATGCCTCAAACTTTGCATTATGAGCAATCTTGTTGCAATATGGATAAGATGGCAAACTTCATCTAATTACATTCTATTTTAGAAAATTCTAAGCAGCAAAAATCAACTACAAAATCCACAATAAAGAGTTACTTGCTATCATGGATTCTTTCCAAGAATGGTGCCATTTTCTTGAAGGTGCCTCTCATTAGATGAGTATATATATAGATCACAAGAATCTTGAATACTTCATGTTAGTACAAGTCTTGAATCGTCACCAAGTATTTTGAAGTATATCTTTTGTACAATTTGATTTTTGCATCATGTATCAATTTGAGAGCCAACAATGATTATTTGATGCATTATCATAACGTTCCTACTTTGAACCAAAAGAAGGCGAGGCAACATATGATCAATAATAGGCAATCTTATTAAAGCCTGAGCAATTTCACCTTCAAGCAACAAATGTATCAATGCCTAAGGATTTATCATTTCTTGATCAGGTTTGTAAAACATCAACAATGGACCCCCTTGTTCTTAATATCAAGCGTCTTGCCAACAATCTTTGTGAAGAGTCTTCTAAATTCAAGTATAAAGACAATCTCTTATTCTGTGAAGAATGTTTGTTCATTCCTAAAGAACTAACTCACTTACACATTCTTCAAACATGCCATGACTTCCTTGCAGTTGGATATTTTAGATTCAATGAGACCTTGGAACTTTAATATAGAGACTTTTGATGGCCTAAAATATAGAAGGATATTAAGAAATTCATACTATCATGTGATACTTATTCAAGGTCAAAGAACCCTCAACATCAGCTATATGGACTTCTTCAATCCCTTCTGATTCCAAGACAACCATGATCATCTATTTCTATGGATTTCATTATAGATCTTCCATCATCAAGCTCATTTGACACTATTTTTATAGTTGTTGATTGATTGACCAAGATGGCACATTTTATGCCTTGCAAGAAGTCAATTACTCGTGAAGAAATGACAAGACTCTTTATTGATAATGTCTATCGTTACTACGGATTGCCAAATGATATTGTGTCTAATCATGGACCACAATTTATATCAAGATTTTAGAAGGCACTCTTCAAGATTCTTAAGATTGATATCAACCTTTTTTCTGCCTTCCACCCTCAAATTGATAGCTAAACAAGGCGGATCAATCAAATTCTTGAGTAATATTTGAGGTACACCATCAACTATCAAAAAGATGACTGGACTTTCTACTTGTCATTGGCGGAGTTTGTATATAACAATAAAATCCATGCATTTATGCAACAAATGCCATTCTATTCAAACTACGTTCATCATCCAAAGTTGGATATGATAGAGCCTATAAAGTCAACAAATCCAATAGCAAACGAGTTTGCTATGTAGATGGCCAAACTTCAAGCAACTATGAAGACTCACCTAAAAAGGGCTCAACAACGTTATAAGTTACTAGTAATTGAATTGAAGAAGGAACATTTTCTATTCCAAGTTAGTGACAAAATGTGGCTTCTTCAATAAAATATAAAAACCAACATGTCATGTCATAAGTTGGACTACCAAAGGCTGAGACCATTTGTGATTCAAAAACAAATCA